CGCGAAGCTGTACCTCGCGGTCATTGGTGGTGGCGGTCATCGTGTCAATCCATGTGAACATCCGAACAAACCACTTCAGCTCATCAGACATGCAAGGTGAGTTGCACAGTCGGATGGCCAACAATTTTGTCACCCCCGCAAACTGCGTCTTGAATTGAGCGACCCCAGTATCACACCCATGGAATAGACAGAGGATGAGTAAGGTTGCCAGGACAGAGTCAGAAAGTCTCTGATGCGGGTCGGCCAATTCCCGATTCAAAGCAGAGACCGCCATGCCTCGATGATACTGCTCTTCCTGGGCATATTCTTCAGGCATACTGAGTCCAGCCCGGTCCTGTAATGCTCCATCGGTCAAGGCTTGGTGGGCCAAGGATGACATGCGCCCCGGCAAAGTTCGCTCCGTCGCCCTCATTCCTCGTTCGCGTCGCTGTCGCAGATTACAGCTGGCCAATGTAGCGATGGCCTCTTGGAGCGATGTGCTTTCCTGCGCCAGTCGAAGAACATACGTTCGAAATGGATTGGTTGGACTATCAAATGCCACAATCATCGGAGCAATGACTTCGGCATAATAACTAATTAGGTATCGGAGTCGAGGTGTACGTCCCACGGAACGTGCCAGCAGCTGCTGAGACAATGATGGCGGCTGGCAAGCACTCATACGTGGTGGAACCTCGTCATAACAGGTATCTTCGTTATGCTCATCTGAAGCATTATCTCTCTGATTCGGGGCCTGGGCTGGCCACGGACACTGTATTGGTACCGGTGTTTGTTCTGGTCCCATCCAGGTCCTTGACGGATCAGGATTTGAGATCAATGGGGCATGGCACTGTCTCGGAGAATCGGTCTTTGTCGCACGTGAGGAATAAGAATTATAGAAATTTGGCGAAGCATGGGAATCCACCGTATAGTACTCCGGTGAGCACGCCCGGCGTTTTGAAGCAGTTGTCACCGAGACAGATCCATGCTCAGCAAGCCCAGTGCCTGAAGAACGCTGTTTATCATGTCGTCGCTTTTCTGCGGCTGTTTCAAGAGCCGGTTGGGATTTCGACGCTGTCCGTGGCCCTGTCACACGGGAAAACTTCGGAGGTGCGACCGCAGGCTGTGCCCCGGTCACGGGGAGGGACAACCCTCGAAGCTTTCCTCGACTGGCAACTCCTACGCCCCAGGTCAACGCTGTCTTGTACCCCGCGCAATTGCGGGCGCTGTCCAGGCACTGGGAACAATATGGGCGACGTCGGTCGCAGGGAGTACCCTGTCGGGCGCAAGTAAAGCAATCATCAGCCGCTTGGCTTACGACCGTCCTCCTACGCCTTTTCCGGGGAGCTGGGGCGGAGACCGGCGGAGTTTTGCGGATTCGAGGCTTCGAAGTAGATTCCATAGCCGGATCCGACGCAGAGGTTGGCCAACTGCTAGGGTGCAGATACTAACTCGCCCAGGCAAGCAATGTGGAGATAACCCGGAGTGCGGGGTCCCATAAGTGGTGCAAGGAGTTGGTTGAGACGGCGGCAGTAAGCAGGCTAGCTAGTGTGTTAGAATAGGCCAGGCGAAAGCAGGGCCAACACGATGTTGGGGGGTGGAAGATAATGTATCTAGTCGTCGGGATGAACAGGTCAGGAAAAAGCAAGAAAAGAAGAGCTAACGTCGGAGAGGGAGGGGGGCCACGCTTACGGTCGTTTATAATCGAATCACATCGGAAATCGATCTAGTTCGCGCAGGAGAAAGAAAGCGGATTTGGAGATGATGATAAGCGACGATCGTTGCGGCATCACCCGCCGTTAGGAGAGCAGCGCCGGAGATTAAGCCAGTATAAACTCGTTAGCGCCGAGTAGTCGAGGCTCAGCAGCCAACCGGTGCGTGGCGAGTGTCTTCGAACCCGCATTTTAAAGCGATCTTACTTGATGGCGGCCGAGTGTCGGCGAAATTGAGCCACCGTTTCAGATGGACCCAGAGAAGATGGGACAGTTCATAGCCGGTGCAGGATTAACTGGGTGCACAGATGAGGTTGCTTGTTGAAGATGGCAGCACCTCAAAAATGAAGGAGGAAGAAGAAGGACTTGGCTGCCCCCAAATCTATGGCCGGAACAGGACTAGCGGGAAGTGTGCATTGTTCAAGTTCAAATGTAACAAAACTCAGCCAGCAACTCAACTTCCTACTACCAACTACCAATCCTACCAAATGATCAACTCTCCTCGAGGCGAGGGCCTTCTCATTCCTCATTCATTCCTCTCCCTTCTCCTCAAGTCTCCCCTCCAGTCGATCCAAGATTCCAGATTCCCCTTAACTTCTTAAGGTTTCGGTAGACCAAAGCTAATGGGATCCACTGGAGAACTTTCCCTTCCACTTTCCACTCTGTCGGTTCGGTGGAACTGGCCCTTCCGCGGAGAGGAAGGACCACATGCGGTCTTCAGTCTTCACCTCCCCTATTCCATTGCTACGGGTCGGGGCTTGGTGCCTTGGAACCCCTAATGGATCACTCGGGATGACTCCGACCACGAGGATGGAATAGGAAACTCCCTCGCACTTGGTATATTAGGATTGCCACCGGATGAAGATCGTGGGAAACCAACCGGAGCCACGGCATACTCAATTATGCACCGCGTTATTAATAGCCGCGGGCAACGTAAGTGCGCGTTCTGCCACCGCCTGCTGGAAAAAGCATCCACGGTGCCTCCATCGCCTCCCCAACACTGCCTGCTGAGCCACGTTGGACAAGCCTTCGTGGCCGCTGGAAACTTTTATGGCCAAAACTTTGCGATCTTCTAGCGTTTCCAGACCCTGCCAACACAACAGTGCTTGATTGTGTCTTATCCCGACTACCGCGGCTCCTCCACCGCCATTCGTATCCCCCGTGAACCAGAATTCGCCTCCCGCTGAACCTGGACTCGACCGAGCTTGCCAGCCATGTTGATGGATTGCTAAAGCGATCTTCTCTGACTTTACTTGAATTGTCCACTCTACCGGCCGACCGCCGAAGCGCACCCCCTCCATACACAGCGAGCTGGTAGATTTGCCTGGAACCTTCAAAGCTATACCTCCATACCCCTAGCTCTGCCCCCGGGCAGCGAACATAGTCATGCCGGTTCTTCGACCAGGTAAATTGAAGACGATAATCTCGGCCACGGGTGCGCTGCTACTTATTTGCACCGTGTATATCTATTGGGCCCCGCCTCCAGCCTCAGTAGTCCCTAGCACCGCCTTCGAGGTCCCTCTCGCCGAACGTCAAAATGCCTTTTGGAAGGTCTTAAACCCGATATTGCAAGGACATGCCCCAAATACTCCTACGCCAAAGCGCCTGGCGGACGTAAGCGCAGTTCACTTCAATGCTACGACGACCGATTCGCGACCTGATCTGACCATAATCGAGGATGGCGATTTACAAGCGATGGAGGAGGCTCATGCGGGATATATTGAGGAGTGTCGTAAGTCTGAACGGCTGCGGCCAGTACATACTCCGGGCACGCGTGGCATAGTGTCCACAGCGGGGGCTTCCTACTTTCCAGTTTTCTTGTCCTCTCTACGAATGCTTCGACGACTGGGGTCAACGCTGCCGGTGGAGGTGTATATGAAGGATAAAAGTGAATATGAAAAACAAATATGCGACGAGATCCTACCGGATCTGGGTGCGCGCTGTCTTGTTCTCTCAGATATCGTTGGCAAGGGAGCCATTGAGCATTACCAGCTCAAAATCTTCGCAGTTCTATTCTCCTCGTTTGAAGAGGTTATCTGGATGGACGCAGACTGCTTTCCGCTCCACAAGCCTGAAGTTTTGCTTGAGTCGGAACCATTCAGCTCCAAGGGGTTGGTCACCTGGCCGGACTTTTGGATCTCCTCGGCGTCTCCGCTGTACTTCAAAATCTCGCGGCAGGAAATGCCAGCGCTGTCGGAGCGCGCGTCATCGGAAGCGGGCGTCTTTCTAGTATCGAAGAAGACACACCAGTTGACCTTGCTCCTCGCTGCTTACTACAACTACTACGGTCCGTCACATTATTTCCGGCTATTATCGCAAGGCGCACCCGGCGAAGGCGATAAGGAGACCTTCCTTCATGCTGCCACCGCCGTCGGAGAGCCTTTCTACGCTGTGAGCGAGCGGGTTCAGGCAGTCGGTCACATGAAGCCGGGCGGTATTGCGGGCTCTGCGATGGTGCAGACTGACCCGGCCGAAGATTATGCGTTGACCAGTGCGAATAAATGGCGCGTGAAAGATGAGTCTGTGGCGAAAGCCCCCCATGCTTTCTTCATCCACGCCAACTACCCCAAGTTCAATCCTGGTGAAAAAGTATTTGGCATGAAGTGGGAGACCACGCCGACGCTCCGCCCCGATGGCACGGACGGACGGGCATGGCTGGCGGCAGAGTCTACTGTCCAGCGATTTGGATACGACGTCGAGAAAGCGTATTGGGAGGAGATCAAAAACATCAGTTGCGACCCCGCCATCAGCTTCCGCACATGGGAGAGGAAGGATGAGATATGTGACCGGGTAGAGAGCTACTGGGCGAATGTGTTCGCCGAGCCGCATGATGACGACCCCAAGTTCACTGACGAAAGCTGAATTGGCCGCATTGTACTGCGATGCTGGCCTTGAGACATCACTGGGTAACCAGTTACGCCATGCTGTTTATGATCGACACGGTTGCTTATCAGCAGTATTGTATATAATTTTCTGTTCTTTTTCTGGTTACATATTCATACCATTAGGTGTATAATATTGGTTGATGCCATGGCATCCCAACCTTTTGTTTGTTGATACCCTGGCGCTCCGAACGAAAAACCGAAGTATAACTCCAGTTCTAGTAACTTCAATCAAACACAAACGAGCTACTAGTAATGTACTACAAACTTTAAAAACATAATACTTAGAATGAAGAAGAAGTTGATCCATTGTAAATAAATAGTGATATGCTATCGCCCCAGGCGTCAGCCATTCATGCAGTCATTCGAACAGGATATAGTATATAGCTTTTCCATCCGTCCATCGTTCCAAACCCCATCATTACATCATTTATTTCTTGATACCCTTCTCACGCAAGCGCTGCTCATCCTCAGCCTGCAATTCGGCATCGATCTGAGCACCCTTGGAAGGCTGGTTGCCGTGCACCTTGGCCTGCAGACAAACTAGTTAGCCATCATGCTCAATCTAATCAACAACTGTGTAAGAAAGGAAATAAACATACCGGCTTAGTAGGATCCTGCTTGCTGAGCTCAGCCTCAGGGTCCTTATCGAAGTTGTGGTGGTGGTCGCTCTCGGGCTTGCGTTCTTGTGCAGCAAGCTTGTTGCCAATGGAACGCTGGTCCTCTGTTGGTTGTCGTTAGCATTTGTATCCCGAGTGATTGGAGCGTGAGAGGAAAAAAGCAGGAAGGGGCATGCTTACTCGAGTCCAGGGTCTTGTGGCTGTTCTTCTGACCCTCTGCGTAGCGGTTCTGCTCGTTGATCTCAGACTGGGGCACGTTGCGCTGGTCACCGGCTTCGTAGAGGGTGCGGCTGCCGACGCTAGATTGGCCTGCTCCGGAGGAAGACATTGTGTATGTTTGTGAAGTAGGAGATAAGAGGATTGAGTTGTTTTGTGTGAGAGAGAGAGATGGATTCGATGAGTGTTTGTTAATTGTTATTGTTGTTGTAGAGTTACATTGCTTGGGGATGAAGAACAGCGTTTATATAGAGTCAGGGTTGGGGGAGAATCTGCGTGATAGTTGTGATGTCATATGGCAGTCGCTGAGATCATAGCACCCATGGACTGTGTGGGTCACAGCCAAAGCTGGGCATGCTTTGTCCCTTGGCTGGAACAGCCCTCATCATATTCTTCCTCGATGATGTAGTTGGGTCCGTTCTGGTGTTGCATTTCGGTGAAGTCTTGGGGTGTAGCAGTCAGATGGGGGAATCGGTGTACCTGACTGAATAATGGGGTGGTGGTGAACTCAGCTATGCATCCTTACATAACCGATATCGGCCGATTAGTTCCATTTCCGGCTAACATGGGGGATAAACAGATACAGACGCGACTCACCTTCACGATTAAAGATTAATGCATCTACAACGGGACATAATGGCCCGCAACCCTTCGCGTCTGCTGTATGCATCTCGTAGTCTGCAATTGACTACTAGTAGACGGCAATTCGGCACCAGTGTCTCCTCCATACTACCCCTCCTCTCCCCGCCCCGATACACGCCGGTCCGATCATCATTAATATCATCAACACCACCATCTACTTCTTCCCCTCTCACACATACTACTACTCACTCTACTTCCCTCCGAGGTATCACCACCAACACCACCCCCAAAATGGCCACAACCACCACCACCCTCGACCCCCAATACGCCCAACTCTTCCAAACCCTGGAATCCCAATTCCAGACCACCACCCTCCCCCACGACAAATGGTACATCCTCGCCATCTCCACCCTCGTCGCAAACCCGGACCCCGAACGCGCCGACCAGCTCTACCTCTACCTAACCTCCAAACCCGAGTACTCGACCCCTTCATCCCGCCAACACCTCATCCGGCGCATCCGCGAAGCCCTCATCAAAAGCGTGATAATAGTCGGAGTGTGCAAACCCATCGAAGCCATCCTCGCCATCAGCAAGCTCGAAGCGCCCGAAGACAGAGACTACACGTTCACCCGGGAGGGCTGGCAATGCGACGAGGCGAATCACGAGCGCGGCGTGGCGTGGTTGGAGAAGCTGTATGCGCGGAATACATCGGGCACGTTGGATTTGTTTGCGGCGCATAAGGATTTCGCCTGGTTGTCGAAGGAGATTACCTATGGGTTGTTTTTGAGTGATCGCGGGGTGTTGGATGATTTGGATACGCAGTTGGTGGTGTTGCCGGCGATTATGAGTCAGAATCTGAGGATTGAGACGCATTGGCATATTAGGGGTACCAGACGCTTGGGGGTGAGTTTGGAGGATGTGAGGGTTTTGTGTGAGGGTGTTAAGCATGTTGCTGGGTTTTATGGGAGGGTGTTGGATAAGGTGCCTGGTGTGGAGGAGGTGGAGGGGGATGTTTGAGGTGGGTTTTGGGGTTTGGTTGTATATAGTTTGTACTTAGGTGGGGATAGACTTAGAGGGGGGTATATATTACTACTGTGGTAGTTGGAGTATAGTGGTCGGGATTAGAAAAGAGGTCATACTACATGTATAGAAAGGGAATGACGTGCTAAACTACTAGCGGAAAGGCTCTCTCTTATGTTGCAATATTCATACGTACGTGATTTACTCCTGTAGAAATATCGAATGACATGCATCTGAAATACTATAGCGACAGCAATCTTGTTTATTTCCCCTTCATATATATCACATTTTTTTCCAAGCTATGTTGATGACATTTCTTGACCACGGTCAAAAGAAAACATCCGAGAGATCAAGAGTGTTCCATGAAGACAGTCACAACTCCAATATGATCATTCAGGATTATCATGAACTATAGAGCCATATGACAGAATGACTGCCGCTTTCTAGGTCACTTCAATCCAGACATTTTCTCCATGACTTTCCTAAGGAAATCTAGAACATTGAGAAGATTGTTCGTAATTATCGGGGATTTTTTGATCCTTCAAGCCAAGTCCAAGGATGGCTCCCTCCGCAAATCACGGTAGTCTTTACCGCGTCTTATCATTTTATGGAAGCGGTTAAGTAGCATCGCCTCATAATTGCCAATGCGAATATTAATTGCGCTCTGTAACTTCTGAAGACCGCTCAAGCAAAGTTTCAAATGACCTTGTCTGTCTTCTAGCGTTTTGTTAGTGGGGTATTTATCGAACGCGGAGCTGACATCCTTTTGTTAGATCAAGAAAGAGGCCCAATTAAATCTGTTTACAACACTTTTCCAACCCTCTCCTCGATCCTGCGCCAGTTTTTAGCGGCTACTCTTGCCGTATCATAGAAGGACTTTGCCCGTATTTGCATTTGTGCCCATTCAGGGATATCATTTTCTTGACAATATCTCAGGAATTCTGCCTTGCTGGCCAGTGCCGAACAGCGATTGCGCTTGCCCCAATATTGATATGATTAAACCAGTTTAGTAAATTTAAAAAACCCGATGCAGAGTACTAACCGCTCACCTTTATTCGCGGATTTATACTCGCTCGAGAACTTTTCGGCCCTTTCTATCAAGGGATCAATAATGGTGGCAGCTGCAACCTCTGTCGACAGCTGGCCATCGTCCACTACTTTCCTCACGTATCTGGGTTAAAGAAAGTATAGAAATGTCTTCTTCTGTCTTGTGAGAGCTCTTTCTCTTTTTCTTCCCGTTGTTTCCGGTTTCTGTCGACGGCGCTCGTTTCGATGCTCTGGGTGCCATTTTGAAAAGCTATTGAATATTATGCCTTACGAGTATTGTGAATAGAGAAGATGTCTTGTCTATCACACAACCAAATGAAGGCATGATTCGCCTTGTCGACTGAGTGAACCTTAGTGGATTTGATTAGGCGCTGGATCAACATAGCTCTCTCCTCTGTAAACTCAGCCTCAATAAAAGATAATTTGGCTACCTTAAAGTAAGCGAAGAATCCCTTATATAAGAAAGGGAATTAAAAGGTCCGCTTTAAGATGTTAATCTTTATCTCGTTGGGCGGAAGATCTTTATATAGTCTGGGTTCGTGGACTATTTCTTGACGGATCTGGTTTAAGGTGAGACTAGAGGTAGTCTTATCTTTATTCTGATGGGTGCTCTTCCGCTTTTTAGACGGTCCTCCAGCTTTAGTAATTGTAGCTGTCTCTATCTTTTCCTTTCTTGTGGACGTCCGCGGCCTGAAATTCTTAATAAAGAATATATATGCTTGCAACTATTAGCCAAGGATGAAACTAGTATATTAGAAAGCCTCGCAGGTCCTTCCAGCCTAGGCTGAAATGCCATTAATAGTTGGATAATACTAATTGCGTTAGTATCGGCGATTGCTTGCTACCGTCAAGGTTCTCTTTGTTTTCGAAAGGGTTGAGCCAAGAATGTCCTTTTGATGTATTCAAAACCCTAATAATAGGTCACACCATGTCATCTGAATGGTTTCGCTGAATGGCTACCATAGATATGTGCGGTATCTATATCCATAACCTTGGTTTTTTTGGGTTATAATCAAACCCAGAGCCATCTGAATTTTCAAAGTCTTCTTAAAAACTTGCAAATGCAATGACAATGTTTATCCATATCAAGTATGTCGGTTATGCTACCCCTCGGTACGGAATGTCCAACATCGCTGTTTCACCTGCAGGTGCTGGGTTTTCTCGAGCACCTTCCGTTTTGTAGTCTAGGTTTGCGACTGTGGAGAAGTTTCTTCAATGACGCGTGATAATTATCCATTGGTATATCATATATAGTGATATATTAACCCGGATATATTTGCCATGGTTGCTCATAAGTAAATGCCTATTTAGTGGTAGTAGCTGCGATACTTTCTCGATGTACTATATATCATAAAAGCATTGATATAATTTTAGGTTATATATAGATTGTATTATTTAGATAGTTGGAGTTGGGAATATTGGAAACATCAAGCAGGGTCGCAGGCCGAGTTTATATAGTAGGCAAGGGTTGGTGAAGTGGCTGTTTACTTTGCAGTATTCATTAGGAATAATCCCTCTAATATGCACTTGCTGGCCTATTCAATACTTTCTGTCGGTGATCCTGTAGGGGATTTCAGGGAATACCCTTTAAACAGTGAAGTATCTACACAGCTCTCTTCAGAGCATGAATATGGGATAAATTCAATGATAATTGCATTGCACTACTACTATAGCGCTATCGATAAGCTATCGATAATCAAAAGCGGTTAGCGGAAGATCAACTTTTGTCGGCCGCGCCGCCCGACGAACCTCCGCGAACGGAAATCCCACTTTAACTCCTCCCAGCACAACCCCCTCAAACCCACACCACACATATTCCCCCAACATACACAATGGTCAAGCGCAAGGAACTCAAAGACAATGATGTCGAGATGTCGGGGACGGATCCCCGCGTCGACGGCGACGACTCCGACGAGGTACATCCATACAAACCAATACCCCCCTCCAACAGCATATACAAACCCAGCCAAGCAAGAGCAACAACTCGATATAAATATTGACAAAACTCGATATAAATATTGACAAAGGTACTAAAATCAGGACATGGACATGGTCAACGTCGACTTCGAATGGTTCGACCCTCAACCAGCCGTCGATTTCCACGGTCTGAAGAACCTCCTCCGTCAGCTCTTCGACACCGACGCCCAGATCTTCGACATGTCCGCTTTGGCCGATTTGATCCTCTCGCAACCTCTGCTTGGTTCGACTGTTAAAGTTGATGGGAATGAGTCGGATCCGTATGCGTTCTTGACTGTGCTGAATCTTCAGGAGCACAAGGTACGTTCTCCGTCTCCGTCCTTACTTGACATACATGAGGAAGGAGGAGGGGAGTCTAACGGAAGCATTCAGGATAAACCCGTCATCAAAGACCTCACAGCCTACCTCCAGCGCAAAGCCAACGCCACACCGACACTCGCGCCCTTGGCCCAACTCCTCTCCCAAACGCCCATCCCGCCCATTGGCCTGATCCTGACGGAACGTCTCATCAACATGCCTGCGGAGGTCGTACCGCCCATGTACACGATGTTGCAAGAGGAGATCGATTGGGCGATCAAGGACAAGGAGCCGTACAGTTTCACGCATTACTTGGTTGTGTCGAAGACGTACGAAGAGGTGGAGTCGAAGCTAGATGCGGAGGAGTCGCGGCCGCAGAAGAAGAAGAAGAAGGCTGCGGGTGGGGAGAAGGCCGAGCGGTTTTTCTTCCATCCTGAGGATGAGGTTCTGGAAAGACACGCTGTGTGTGTTGGGCCTGTGGAGTATACGCATAAGGCTGAGGAGGGGTTGTCGGATTCGAAGCGCGCGTTCCAGGATCTGGGTATCGTGACGAAGGGGAGTCTCATTTTGTTGGAGGCGAGTAAGTTGGATGGGGCGGTTAAGGATATGGCGGAGTATTTTAAGCCATAGATATAATTTGCTTGTGATTACGATGATTATATGTTATAGACACCCGAAAAGTTGGTTTGTTCTTTGGTCATTTGTCCGTTTCTATTATTCCATCTGGGTTAATTCTATAGAAGTTTCGTCACGGCGTTTCGTGTAATGTTCCGTGTATATAATGGCAGAACGGGAGCTTCTAGGTGGTGTTACATTACTCCCATTGCGTGCCCTTGAGTCGCTGCATGAGGTAGTCTACCTCGACGACCTTGGTGAGCGGGATGACATATTCCTACGCACGTCAGCATATTCCTGATCATAAACCGAGGGATGAGTTAACTCACCTTGTACATGGCCACCACAGCATCAACATTGATCTTAGGTCCGTTCTCAGGTTGGAAACCCGGATCGGTACCATACGTCTTCGCCTTGAGCGCCAACCGCTCCAACACCTTCAGCTCTACTTCGGGTTTGGTAATAGCCTCGTCAATGCCCTTACGATCATTCGCCTTGATCAGCTTAACAAAGCGCTCGGTCTCCTGCTGGAACTTAGCCTCCGCGACAAACTTTCCAAAGTGGATTCTCCGCGACAGCGCCTGCAAGCAATGCACATCGCATGTCGCCGCGGATCCGTAGTTCTCCTGCGTTTCGCCGCGATCTTCACGTCCGAACTGCGCGCACACAGCGGGAAGGATATCCTCAATGTAGCGCTGTTTCAGGATGCTGTTGACGTTGACGTCGTTGTCATGCAGGATCTTGGGGTACTGGATCGGGGCGAGGATGGGCTCTTCCAGCGCGTCGGGGAAGAAAGGGTATTCATCGGGAGACTGGTACCGACGAACACGGGACTCCAGACGTTCACGTTCGCGAAGGAAGTAGTCGAGAAGACTGAGCTCGGTGCCAGGGATTTTTACCCCGCCGGGTAGGTAGACGGGCTTGTTGAGAGGGAACTGCGCCCGTTCAATCAGGTGGAAGGTGATTGTGTCTTCAAGACGGCTAATTGTATTGAAGCATGATTAGCGACTGACATGATTTCTCAGTTTTGGCATCTGTGTTGGTGGACAATGATGTTGAAACTCTGGCAGTAATGGAGGGGATGCGGGGTTGAAGTTTGCGCGCAGGGATGTGAATCATTGTATGCGAGTTGGTCCCCGATCTTCGGTCGATATAGAGTAGGCTAACTAACTAACGAAATCCCTCCGAAGGAACTTACATTAGCTGGAAGCGGATGTTGGCGAGGTCCAATGCCTTAGAGGCATCGGACAGATCAATGGCTGTATCCATGGCGAGGCTGGTTGGAGATTGAGACAGAGCTGGAGGGTGCGAAGCGGGCAAAAGTGCAGCAAGCGTAGGAGTAGATGGAGGGACTGGGAAAGCGAGATGATTACGCTCCGCTTTCGGGGGAATCATAGAGCAACTTAAGTAGGCTGGAGAATCAGCGCTAACGATTTGCTGATCGGCACAGACTGGGTGATGTTTCAAGATAGACCAATTGCTGAGTCTAGAAACATGCAAGGAAATCTCACGACATCCGGACTGTCATGGAATGCTGGGCTCAGCCATCATCTGCAACCCATAGTAATGTTGGATGGTGATTCATGATTCTGGCCGGTTGCCCGCAGGTAACATTACGGCTTCGTACAGAACCCGCGGCGAGATCCGTGGCTGGTGATGCTGTCATGTGCAGCAGGGAGAGCCTCATCAGGTGGAAAGTTGAAGGGGTTGGGGGGCAAAGAACAGGGACATTGGATACTTAAGCCACTCATATCCAATGGAGCAGTCTCTTTCCAGGGAAATAAATATGCTTTCTCCGACATTGAAGGCAGATCAGCCAGAACTGAGGGAAGAGTGACCGTGGTACTTAGGGTAGCCCGGGCGCAGCAAGAGGCAAGCTGTAAAATACAGCCGAAACACGGTAATTCATCGCGTGCAACTCCATCCGCCTTTCTTTTTCCAATCCCAGCCTGAAGCCGACCAACTGCCGACTGGGCACAACAGCTCCTCTTTCTCCGCCGCCATCCTTGTCCTTGATCTGTGAATTCCCGGATGGGAGTTTGTGCTTAGCTCACTCTTCGCTCCTCCGCCGGTGTCATGGACAAACACCGCCGCCGTGATGAGTCTCCCTCCGGTCTATCAGATATTGTCGAGCCGGACGGTCTCTTAGGGACCGGCATCACGGTATGCTCTTGCGGCCTTGACACCTGCCCTTGGGCGGTCTTTCCTGCCTAAAATCCCTTCTTGCTGACCTTATTCCTCTCCAGTCGCGTCATATCGAGGCCTTCGGGCGCAAAGTCACATCGACTGCTGGCCATTTGATGGGACCGGCTCCCGACTCCTCCAGCGGCGGCCACTACCACACTGCTATGGCCGATATCCAGCGCGAATTACGCCATCCCAACACCCAGCGCAAAGTCTTTTCTCTCACCCAGACCACCCCTACCGATCTGGTCCGCTCCAAGCTCTCCACCACCGAAATCCAGTCGCGGGCCATCTCCTCCCTTCCTGACGAACTTCTCGCCAATATCCCCGACGACTCCAGTTCGTATTCTCTCTTCCAGGGCTTCCAGGCGTCGCAGGATGACATTGAGTATCGCCGCGCCCATCGCCGGCGCTCTTCCAAGAGCAAGAAGTTGTTGAAGGATGGGGAGACGCGCGGCGCTTTGCCGTCCGCTCCGTCGGATTTGAAGAAGGAACGGGACTTACTGAGCCGCCGGATGGAACTTATGGGCGTTCGCAAGAACATGTGCAGCTCGGAGATACACGACATAGATAACAAGATCGCGAACCTACACAACATGCGGAAGATCGTGCTAGACCGATTGGCAGGCCTTGAGATGGAGGAGGCGGATCTAGAACATGAGCGTGGGTGACCTGGAATTCTGGATACTTGGCAGAAACGTCCTAACATGGAATCAGTGAACGAGATTGAGAACAAATTGGAGGATATCCAAGAAGAGCAAGAGGCCGAGGTGCCGCCTCCCGCTACTCCCAAGTCTTCCGAGGCCAACGATGACTCGATTGTTTCGGAAGACCCAGCCATGGGGGCTTCCTTTATGTCTGAATCCATCTACCAGAAAATCCCTTCGCCGAAGAGCGTGAAGCAGCGATCTATAAGTACGTAGCACCATTCTCCTTTCAGCAGCCAGTACTAATGGTCCAAGGGAAACGATCGATGCCAGTTTTGCACGAACACTTCGCTCCCGGTTCCGAAATCAAAGAGATGCCGGCACACTCGGACATGGTTACTGCTATTGACTTCGACTACCCGTTTGGCACCATGATCAGTGCCGCCCTGGACGATACGGTGCGGGTGTGGGATCTCAACGTCGGCCGCTGCGTGGGCTTCCTGGAGGGACACAACGCATCGGTCCGCTGCCTACAGATTGAGGACAACATTGTCGCCACTGGATCTATGGACGCATCTGTGAAGCTCTGGGATCTGAGCCGGGCCCGGACCACAACTCGCGACAACCGCGTCACCCGGCGCGAGGACGATGAGGAATCTGCAAATGCTGATGACGCTTCCATGGCATCTCACTCGACCACCCTGGAAGACTGCTATGTATACTCGCTTGATGCACACGTCGACGAAGTAACCGCCCTGCACTTCAAGGGAGATACGCTCATTTCCGGATCTGCCGATAAGACGTTGCGACAGTGGGATCTGGTCAAAGGGCGCTGCGTGCAGACGCTGGATGTCTTGTGGGCAGCGGCCCAGGCGTCTACTCTAGGAAGTGAGACGACATGGCGCCCGTCGGGACGCCTGCCAGACGCTTCTGCGGACTTTGTTGGCGCGGTTCAGTGTTTCGATGCGGCGCTGGCCTGCGGTACGGCGGACGGTATGGTGCGCCTGTGGGATCTTCGTAGCGGCCAAGTCCACCGGAGCTTGGTGGGCCATACCGGTCCTATTACATGCCTACAGTTTGACGATGTACACTTGGTGACTGGTAGTCAGGACCGCAGCATCAGAGTAAGTTTTGTTCATATACAGACGTAACGGCACCGCTAACATTTACCAGATTTGGGATCTCCGAACTGGATCTATCTTCGATGCCTACGCGTACGACAAGCCCATCACCAGCATGATGTTCGACACCAAGCGCATTGTCGCGGCAGCCGGAGAGAACGTTGTCAAGGTATACGACAAGGCGGATGGTCACCACTGGGACTGTGGTGCCGGGGTTGGCGTTGACGACAGTGGGCCGCAGCCGGCCACAGTCGAGCGGGTTCGGCTCAAGGATGGATTCCTTGTTGAGGGCCGCAAGGACGGTATCGTCGCGGCGTGGACTTGTTAAACGAAGCTTATACGACCTGCAAGACTCGCCACGTACATGCTAACTATCATCATCATGTTTTTGTATTTGTGACTGCTTGACTGCCTCAGCGACTGTATATTATTCTTACTTTGGCAATATAGAAGGATAGGCGTCCTGGGAGGGCAGCCGTGTAAATGAAGCATTCGAGGACCTGTACTTTTCTTTGTCACGATGAAACATGCATAAAAATAGCGAAGAGATAAAGGCATGGCTGGACTGTAACCAAACGTGGACTGAAACAAAGAACCGATAGTGCAATAATGCAACAGACCTGTCATGTAAGCTCTATACACACTGTGTTGGGAGAGGGAATAACATCGTAAACCAACGGGCGATCTATAAAGGAGGCCGCCGAGCCGCCCTGCCAAATTGGGCAGTCTTGTATTGAGGCGGGTAACAGGAGATACAAATATTACCCGCAGTGAGTGGAGGTTCGGGCCATCCATCATCATTCAGTCTAACAAGCAAGCCAGCCTCATCTCCCCTCGTCTAGCATTGTTCTGCAGCTCCAGCATTCTCTCTCTTCTTCATCTCCCATTCAGGAATTTCTGCACGACGCGCATTTTACATGCGCGACCTAGTTCATCTCAAATTTCAAGTATCTGAATCCCTCCACCGCCCCTGCGACGCCGTGGATCGGCATTCCACCCGCGTCTTTTCGCGCCGTGTCGCTTTCGCGCATGAAGGTCGACAATTACCCCGGATTGCCATCGCCAGTCTATACCCTCTGCTCACCTTAGCTCATTTGGGTACCTCAAGGTCTTTGACCTCTCTCAATGGTCATTTGAAAACAAAGACTTGACGAGGTAGCTTTCTTTCACTTGTTCTTCAATTCAGCTCCAGCTCTAACAAACCTCGTGTAGGCTACATCTAAGTTGGTCATCCTGGTCGCAGTCACAGTGTAGCACAAACTTGATCGCAGCCTGACTGTTCAAGATTACTCCTGATCACTCTCTCCGAGCTGAATCCTCCTATCTCATCATCGTGTTTTGGCATCTCTGGCCTCCCATTTATGCCTGAGGCTGCAAGTGACTTAATCATTTCCATCTTTCACAGTGAGTAGAGAGCTTCGAGTCCCACTGTTATAGGACTTTCTCTTCCCTCATCCCTCAGTGGGAACGCCTGCACTATATGAGCTCTAGCTAACGCAACAATAAAGCCGATTCTCAGCATTGAATTTCAATGCCTACTAGACGCGGCGCCACCAGGCGCGCGGGGTCTACTCCACGCTCCGATATAGGGAGTGCCTCGACGTATTTTCAGTCCAAGCTGGGTCCGGAAGCAAGGACACAGGCTCTGCCAAATCTTCCAACCAAGCAGTCATTCGCTTATGGATCTGCTGAGACGCCAATTCTCCCGCGGGAGCTCAAGATTCAGCCTCATATGGATCTGACTGAGATGGCCGACGCAATCGACAAGGGAATTGAGGATGCTAAGGATCGGCAGTTGAAAGAGAAAGAAACCACTCAGGACAAGTCTCGTCGACAGAAGTCGCCTTCTATTAGTCGTTCCCCGGTTCGGCGAAGTCGCCGGGAGCCGACTCCGGATGAGTTGCAGCTTCTCGACAACCTGCGCGAGGCAACTAAGTCTCCCACGCCTATACGGGGCAACTACAGCAACAACGACCAATCTACCGCCACCCCCACACCTCCTATCCCACACACTCTTTCTACCGCCTCAAGTCCTACGCAGCCTCTACCTGTACCCAGATATCCCCACGTCCCAGCCGACAATCTGTATCCATCTCCTATGGGGCGGTTTGGCCCGCAGTTGCACGATGGCCCCCCGTTAGGAAGCTCCCCACTACCAGACAACTCCTCGTTATACTCGTTCACCGTTGAGCGAGCAATCAACTCCGATGAACTGACACGGACGCTTTCCGACGGAAAGAATATCAAGGCACCCCCTCGTCGATTTTCCGGGCTGGCTTTTAACGAGCCTATTCATGAAGAGGAGGAACCGGACTCGAGGCTTCTAAAAACGAAATCGAGGTCGCCCTCCCTGCAACCTAGTCTTGAGGAATTCACGATAGAGCCTTCCCCAGAGCCGGAGCCACAGTTGGAACCCGAGTCTGTGCATGAGCCTTCCCCAGAG